CTTCAGTTCTTTCATTTGAAAAATAGGGGGTTCACCCTGCATCCAAGTCCAGTGGGAAGATAATTTAAAGTACAGATGTTTAGATTTTACCCAGGTGTAATAAATAAGAAACTTTAGGGGTGACATGCAGGAGAATTTATCTAGACAAGATTTAAATATTTGTTAATTTTTAATCACAAAGGTAATATATGCTGATTATACAGGTGGAATGATCTAGTGTTGTTTTAAGAAGGTAATAACCTCTCACCTTCCCTCTTCTCTTTTCCCACCCCTTGAAGTAATCAGGGTCCTTGCCTATACTAACACATACAGGGGTATTTGTTATCTCTTCTTTCTTAAGTTTTTGATTTGCCTTTAACATGACATGGACATCCCTTCGGATCAATTAATATGGCACTAACTCATTCTTTTAGAAAAAGACTCACAGACATAGAAAATAAACTTATGATTACTGAGGTCTGTCGGGGGAAGGGATGGGAAGGGATAAATTGGGAGTCAGAGATTTGCAGATACTAATATATATAAAATAGATAAACAAGTTCATACTGTATAGCCTGTTGTTATTTCAAGATATCTAAAGATATTGGCTATATCTTGAAATAACATGGTTGAAAAAGGATATGAAAATGAATGTATGTGTGTTCATGTATAATCAGAGCATTGTGCTATGCTCCAGAAATTGACGCAACATTATAAACTTACTAGACTTCAATAAACATATATATATATATATACAAAAAAAACCCCAAGTAATATTCCATAGAGTGAATGCTCTGTAATTTAGTCAGCCATTCTCTGACTGTGGGATTCAAATTGCTCCCAATTCTTTGCCACTACAAACAGCGCCTCAGTAAACATCCTTGTACACACAGATTTATATCCTGAAGCATTTCCTTAATAGAATTGATTCCCAAAAGTGGTATTACCAAGTCAAAATACATGTCAATTTTAAAATCCAGTAGGCAATGTTGGATTGCTTTTTTGGCCAAAACATGGACAAAATTTTATTTCTATTAGCAGTAAATGGAAGAAATGTTTCCCCACTTTCTCACCAGTACTAGATGTTATCTTTTTTTTACATTTATATCAAACTCTTGAATAAAAAATGGCATCTTATTACAGATTTAATTTGCATTTCCCTGACTGGTGAGATTGGACATATTTTCCTATGTCTACCAGTCATTTGGAATTTACTCCTGAATTACCTGCTTATATCTTTTGACCCTTTTAATACTGAGTTATTGTGTCATTCTTAAAATTATATAAGAGTATTTTGAATATTAAGGATACCAACATTTGCAGGTATGCTACAAATTTGTTCCCCAGTTTATAATTATTTTTATTTTATCAGAGAAGCTTTTGAAAAACATAGATTTTTAATTTTCATGTAATCAAATATATTATCTTTTTCACTATGATTTTTGAGGGGTTTTTTTAATTAGGAAGATTTTTACTACTCCAAGGTTATACAAATATTTTCTTATTTTCTCTTACAGCAGATTAATTTTTACTTTTCACATTTCAATATCTTTAAATAACATTAAGATTACTTTATGTCTTTCTTCCATGTGGCTAGCTAATTGTACTATTTATTAAATAAATAATTCCACTGAAACTTAAAGACCTCTTTTGTTATATGACACATTTATATTTTTTTAATCCATTTCTGTATTTGTTTCTAGTCTTAAGCTATTTCAGTGCCTTTATGGTAAGTTTTAATATTTCAAAAAGTAAATCTCCCTCCACTGTTCCTTTTTTCTTAATTTCCCCTTTTTCCTTATGGACTTATGAGCTCTATGGACACACACTAATTTCTCCAGTTCCCTATCAATTACACCAACTACCTATTGCAATCATGATTGGAACTGGATTCACTTTTTTTTTCTTTTTACATTTTGTTATTGAGTTATAATCATTTTACAATGTTGTGTCAAATTCCAGTGTAGAGAACAATTTTTCAGTTATATATGAACATACGTATATTCATTGTCACATTTTTTTTCACTGTGAGCTACCACAAGATCTTGTATATATTTCCCTGTGCTATACAGTATAATCTCATTTATCTATTCTACATTTTGAAATCCCAATCTGTCCCTCACCCCCCACCCCCTTGGCAACCACAAGTTTGTATTCTCTGTCTATGAGTCTGTTTCTGTTTTGTATTTATGTTCTTTTTTTTAAATTTTTTTTTAGATTCAACATATGAACGATCTCATATGGTATTTTTTTCTTTCTCTTTCTGGCTTACTTCACGTAGAATGACATTCTCCAGGGACATCAGTGGTGCTGCAAATGGCGTTATGTTGTCAGTTTTTATGGCTGAATAGTATTCCACTGTATAAATATACCACATCTTCTTTATCCAGTCATCTGTTGATGGACATTTAGGCTGTCTCCATGTCTTGGCTATTGTAAATAGTGCTGCTATGACCACTGGGATGCAGGTGTCCTTTTGAAGTATGGGAACTGGATTCACTTTTAATTGAAAACAATTGTGAAAAATTGACATTTTCATGCTATTAAATCTTTTCATCTGGAAATGTGATATGTATCTCAATTTTCTCAGTTCCCACTTCATACTGCTTGGTAAAATTTTAGCATTTTCCCTTGGGTAAGCCAAATGACTTTCCATTAAGCTTATCCTTGGATATTTTAAACTATTTGTCCCTACTGTTGGAATAATTTTCCCTTTTCCATTTCTGAGTATTATTATTTTGTTATTGATTTTTATTTGTGTTTTTAATTTTCAAACATACCACAAGATTCTTTAAGATCTTGCTTGTTTATGTGTTTTATTTTTGTAAAAATCTTCTGGATGCTGTGAATACATAATACAGACATATCTCAGAGATATTGCAGGTTAGGCTTCAGACCACCGCAATAAAGTGAATATCACAATAAAGCAAGTCACATGAATTTTTTGGTTTTCCAGTGCATATAAAAGTTATGTTTACACTATTCTGTGGCCTATTAAGTGTGAAATATCATTATGTCTTAAAAATGTGCATGCCTTAATTTAAAAATACATTATTGCTTTTTTAAAACATTTTTATTGAGTTATAGTTATTTTACAATGTTGTGTCAAATTCCAATGTGTAAAAAAGAAGGAGGGAAGAAGGAGGAGGAGGAGGAGGAGGTAACAAAGTCCCTAAAAAAAGAAATACATTATTGTTTTTAAAAAAATGCTAATCATTATCTGAGCCCTCAGCAAGTCATAATCTTTCTTCTGGGGGATGGTCTTTCCTTGATGTTGACGGCTGCTCACCGATCAGGGTGGTAGTTGCTGAAGGTTGGGGTGGCTGTGGCAACATCATAAAATAAGACAACAATGAAGTTTGCCACATTGACGGATTCTTCTGGTCATGAGTGAATTCTCTTTAGCATGCAGTGCTGTCTGATGGCATTTTACCCACAGGATTTCTTCCAAAATTGGAGTCAGTCCTCTCAAATCCTGCCACTGCTTCATCAACTGAGTTCATGTGATATTCTAAATCCTTTGCTGTCATTTCAGCCATAGTCACAGCATCTTCACCAGGAGTGGATTCCATCTCAAGAAACCACTTTCTCTGCTCATCCATAAGAAGCAACTCCTCATTCTTTTAAGTTTTATCATGAGATCACAGCAATTCAGTCCCATCTTTGGGCTCCACTTTTAATTCTAGTTCTCTTGCAATTTCCACCACATATGCAGTTACTTCCTCCACTGAAGTCATTTTTGAATGATTGACTGACTGATTGATTTCCGCTGAAGTCTTGATGAACACCTCAAAGTCATCCACGAGGGTTGGAATCAACTCGTTCCAAACTCCTATTCATGTTGCTATTTTGACCTCTTCTCATGAATCATGAGTGTTCTTAATGGCATCTAGAATGGTGAATCCTTTCCACAAGGTTTTCGATTGACTTTGCCCAGAGCCAGCAGAGTGTTCAAGTGAAAGGAAGAGTCACATGCTTCTCAGTTTAAATAAAAAGTTAGAGATGATTAAGCTGAGTAAGAAGGGCATGTTAAAAGCTGACGCAGGCTGAAAGCTAGGTCTCTTCTGCCAAACAGTCAGCCAAGCTGTGGATGCAAAGCAGAAGTTTTTAAAGAAAATTAAAAGTGCTATTTTGGTGAACACAAAAACTATAAGAAAGTGAAACAGCCTTGTTGCTGATATGGAGAAAGTTGTAGTGGTCTGGATAGAAGACCAAACCAGCCACAACATTCCCCTAAGCCAAAGCCTAATCCAGAGCAAGGCCTTAACCCTCTTCAATTCTAGAATCGGTAGCAAGTGATCCAGAAGAGCCAGCTGAGATGATTAATGAGGGTGGCTACACTAAACCACAGACTTTCAGTATAGATGAAACAGCCTTCTTTTGGAAGAAGATGCCACCTAGGATTCTCATAGCTAGAGAAGAGAAGTCAATGGTTTCAAATCTTCAAAGGACAGCCTGACTCTCTTGTTAGGGGCTAATGCAATTGTTGGCTTTATGTTGAAGCCAATGCTCATTTACCATTCCAAAAACCTTGAAGAATTATACTAAATCAACCCTGCCTGTGCTCTATAAATGGAACCACAAAGCCTGGATAACAGCACATCTGTTTGCAACATGCTTTACTGAATATTTTAAGCTCACTGTTGAGAACTACCACTCCAAAAAAAGAGAGAGGGAGAGATTCCCTTCAAAATATTACTGCTCGTTGACAATGTACATGGTCATTCAAGGGCTCTGATGGAGGATGTACATGTCTGCTAACACATCTCCCACTCTGCAGCCTGTGGATCAAGGAGCCATTTCTTATTATTTAAGAGATACATTTTATAAGGCTAAGCTGCCATGGATAGTGATCTCTCTGATGGATCTAGGCAAAGTCAGCAAGTGCTCTAGTTGATTCTGATGTAAGCTCAAGTTTGAGAACCACGAGACAATTGTACTGAGTTATGAATCAGGTGGGAGCAGCAGACACAGAGAGCTCTGAATCACCAACAGTGTTGTTTTCTTACCTCTCTTTCCAGGTTGTCAAGAAAGTTCAGATGAAGGGACAAGAATAGTTGCATTTTCAAAGTCAGTGAGAGCAAAATATCTGAACTTAATCCTCTAAGGAACAGAAGATATCCTGAAGCTCAGTGTCTCCAGTAAGAGCAAACCTGGAAGCGGGCTGCCCAGCTGCTGAGTTTGAGAGGTACAAAAAAACATGGGATCATCAACCCTGTGGCTTTTCTTTAATATTGCTACTTCTTACACATTTTTGTAATTCTCATAAATTAGTTTCAGAGTGAGGAGAGGACAAATTCATTCACTGGAATGAATAAAGGTTGCCAAGAGTCCAAACAAGCAATTTTGCAAAGGTGGGTATTTAATCAAGGAAATGAGTGCCGGGAGCTCTAGTGTCTGGATGGTGTCCAGAAATGACAAGAATGATGATGACAGCTTTGTTTGTTTTGTTTTGTTTTGTTTCCACAGGACCTGAACTTGAAGCTTTCCCAGCTGGATGCCTCTCATCCTGGGCTGGTGAGGGACTGCTGGAAACCAGGTCACAACAAGAGGAAGTTGCCCTACCTCCAGGGCTGCATTCAGACCCTGCTTGCGTGCTATCACACGGGCCACCACAGACCCCACTGCGTGCTGACCGTGGACCCCGCTAGTGAAGCGGGGGTGGCCTACTCCCTGGATGGGTACCAAGGCGAGGACATCCTGAGAGAGTTGGTGGCGCATTAACATAAAACATCTGCATCAGGAGATTATTCTACTTTACCTCTCTGTGCTGGCAGAGAATGAAAAATTCCAAAGGTCCGTGATGTGGTCTGGTTTCTTTGTGGCGGCCTGTGTGTGGCACCAGTGGACCTGCTATCCATAGAAGTTAGTTCCATTTGTTTAAACGATGAAGCTGTTTGGCCATCTTGGGAAGGTCCTTTCTTAATATTGAAGCAGATGTCACAAAATAGCCTTCTTTCACCCACAAATGTTTATTGGGCGTTTATGGTATGCCAGGAACTCTTCTGACACAAAGATGTGATGTAAAAAGACTCAGCCACAATCCTGAGGTGCTGTAAGGTTTGCAGGGATGTTGGTGGTAACATAGTCTTTCAAAATGTATGACATTAGGAAGGATGGGGTTACCAGCAAGCAAGTGACTGTGAAGCCTGGGCCAGTTTTTACTTCTGAGAATCAGAACTCTTTATGAAACTGGATTGATAGACTCTACGATCTGGATGATGAGTGAAGGACTTGGATAAAATGGTTGATAGGGTATCCTTGGTCTGTGTGGATGGTTTCTTGTAAATCCACTTGCTGTTTGTGGATTTTTAAGACACAACTATATCACAGAATGGAAGTCAGCCTCATAGTTTGTGACTAGCAAAGTATAAAAGGTGAAATCCCAAACCAGTGGCTTCTGGGAAATAACTTGACCCACTCACACAACTAGCTGTCATCATTGCCATGTGGGAAGTGGAATCCAGAGGATGGAGTCTGATGGATGCCGGGCCTCCCAATACAGAGGTGTTGTTCTCTGTGATTCCTTCCTGGTCTCCTTCGCTGGTCATCCCTGAACCATCGTGCTGGGTAAGGCGTTTCCTGTGAGTCTGGGTGTTTGTTCAGCTCCACATGTTTGCATCAGGAGTAAGATCTACTATCAGGAGAGTTCTGGGAAGAAGTAATAATTAAGGTGAGGGCTGAAGAGTGAAGATGAGCGAGCCAGGCAAAGAGGTGGTGGGAAATTCCAGATGAAAGGAGAGAACGTGTTCCAGGCACAAGCAGTTTATAATCAAAATCTTGTGTTACTGACTCAAAATCTCCAATCCAAAAAGATAATAATAATCCACTTCAGGAACAGCACAGACATAACAATGGTCTCTTTTGGCTTTTCTCCTGCCACTGGAACATGAGCTGTTGTGGACAATGCAACTATTGCATAAAACAAGAAATCTTAACAGAGTTGGCTTTCAGGGATTAACCAATGCCAACCCCCATCTCCCTATATAAAAGTAAACCTCTACAGAGTTTAATGCTTATATTTGTTATGATTGTAAAGGATGCAGTTCCAGCAATTAAAGAATCATGTAAGTTAAGTAGCTTTTGTAAAAATTTCATTTCACCTTAGAAGAATGTGGTAGGTTTGTCACTCACACTTTAGTTTAAATCAGTCCAATCAGATTGTTACACTCCTAAGACCTGGCTGATTGTTATACTGACTAAATGAAAGTATGGCCTGAGAAAAAAAGGAAGTATATCGTTTTGGATTTTGAAGGGTAGAGAAGTCTTTTAATAAAAAAATTAAATAAAGTAAAGAGATTAGTGTTATATGAAAATAACTCTATTCTGGCACTCAAAATTCAGGAAACACAGAAGATGAAAGAACAGAAAGCAAATAAGATTTGCCTATTTTGAAATGATCCTTCAGGCAGGTCCTTAATGCAGAAGATGATATTCATCTAAGGCTTGAGGCTCACACCACCTCAGCACAGTCCAATTAAGACAGTGATTCCCAAACTTGATTGTGCATCTGAATTAAAGCAACAAAAAAACCATGGGTAACAGGAAAGAGGTCATAAATGTGGGAAAAATAAGCATATCATTATCAATAATCACAATTAAAGTGAGTGTGTTAATTTTCCTATTAACATGCTGGTCTCTGATATATTGAGTTAAAAACAAAGGCAAAGAAGCACGTATTAAACTGCTCAGGCTACCATACAGAACGGCACAGACTGGGGAGCTTAACAACAGAAATTTATTTCTCCCTGTTCTGGAGTCTGAGAAGTCCAGCATCAAGATGCCAATGAGGTAGATTTTATTCTGAGGCTTCCTCTCTTGGCCTATTGGTGACTGATATCTCACTATGTCCTCACATGGTGGAGAAACAGAAAGAAGGAGAGAGAGGGGGCTCTGGTGTCTCCTATTCTGCTCAGAAGGACCCCAGTCTCATGGTGGGGGGGGTCCACCCTCATGACCTCATCTAAACACAATCACCTCCCAAAGGCCCCACCTCCAAAAATCATCACATTGCAGGGTTAGGGCTTCACCACATAAACCTGGGCAGGAGAGGTACTCAAACATACAATCCATTATAAGGTACATGTGAAACAAGCAGCATGTGAGGGTTAAAAGGGTGGAAAAAGATACACTAGACACATGTGAAGCCGAAAGCAAGTTAGTAACATCAATATCTGGAAAAAGGAATGAACATCAGATAAGTACAGAAACCTCCTACAGGAGAGGCTGTGGATCTTCCTACCAACACAAGACAAAGAGAGATTAGTCTATCCACAGTCACAGTGCGAGAAGTCAGGGCTCTTTCCTCAGAAAGCAAGAGATCAGTTAGTTTTTGTAAAAAAGTCAGATTTATAATGTAACATTTTTTATGAGTTCTGATTATCTAGTTATCAAGTGTTTGAAGACTGTTCATCTGTTTGTCTGTTCATAGCTGATCTACAGGGACCCTGGGCAAGGGGAGGGATGTGGGTCCACAAACTGAGTGCTGGAAACTTGTTTCTAAGTCTTGTTTGTGCTCCCTCCTTGTAGCCATCAGCTACCTATTGGGCAAGATCTGTCCGTCAGCCCTGCGCAGACACTCACCTCTTTAGCCTGTGGATAAACGCCAGCACATGCATGCTCCTTAGGACAAGCAGGGGTGTGAGGATGGAGGAAAGACAGGAGTTTACTAGATATCCTAAGCCACTTCCCACCGACTTCTTACTTCTGTCATGCCCAAGCTTGAAGTATTGTTTTGTTGTTCTTTACAGTTCCTATGCCCACAGCAATCTGCCCCCCTAAGTGTTTCCTCTATGTTTACCTGTCTACTTAAAATTTCTGGCCCAAAGACAGTATTTTTTTTTGGAGATTTATTCTGTTTTTATTTCTTTCTATTTTTCCCATTATTTCGTATAATTATTGGCGTGAAGAAGACAGACTCGTGTTTGGTTCACCACTTTGATCTTCCCTCTCTGCTCTTTCTCCCAGGCTGGTCCCACCCTCAGTCCTTCGTGTTTACCTCCTACCCCTGCCCATGCAGACAGGTGACCCTGGGCCAGTCCTGCTTTCCCATGGACTTGAATTCCGCTGAAATAGTACCCGAGTCTCAGGCTTTACATATCAATCTTCCCCTGACATAGTGAGCAGTCTTCTCTTTCGCCTTCAGCGAAGACCTCGGCCCAGGAGATGGGAAACACCAAAACTGATCCCGGTGGACTGCCTCTGTGCGCCCTTTCAGAGTCCTCTGGAC